TCCTCCTCCTCTCTCTCTCTCTCTCTCTCTCTCTCTCTCTGTATATCTAACTGTTAGGTTGTGTGATTAGCGTTTTGTCGATTAGCTGAGGAGAGCAGCAGGTTGCTCCTTGAGGCAAAAAGTTAGCAAGAGCTTCCTGGTGTTGCGGTGTTGAGGATTAGCAATGGCGTCGATGAGTCTCCCTCCTGGTTTCCGGTTTCATCCCACCGACGAGGAGCTCGTGGTGTACTATCTCAAGAGAAAGATCAACGGACGTGAACTCGAGTTGGAGATCATCCCAGAGGTTGACCTCTACAAGTGTGAGCCATGGGATCTACCAGGTGATATTTCTCTTTGCTTTATTAACCGCTTGTGGTAATCATGTGAACCCTTCCATATCTCATATCAAACAATGCAATCTGTAAGCAAATACATCAACAAAATGATGTTGATATGGAACAAGAAGCTTGCCTTGCCTTGCCTTGCCTTGCACTCAATTCTTCATCTCCTTCAACTTGGCACATTGATCAAGTCCATATCCCTACTCCACTTCTTCAAGAAAAGACTCCTAGTATTTGATTCCTCGATTACTTGTTGGGGAGAGCCTTCCTAGTTCCCAATTATATATATTCTACTATATACATGTATACATACATAATATGGCAGACAAACTCCCATTACTTGGACCTTTGTTCTCATCCCGATCCTTCTTTTACACACTAGACTGGCGATTGCTGATGAGTTAGATGGGCCTCTCATCTTCCAAATTAAGGTGAAGGTCCGAAAGAACCACAGGATATCATTGTTTTGAACCAAAAGGTCAAAAGGTCACTTTGACTTCAGCTACAAGAGAGAACAAGATCCTCCTTCCCCCCATCCATTCCAAACACTCGAGCTTTCCTAGAATATCTTCGATAGCTTGCGAGAACAGTAGCACATGGCACTCCAAGACAAAAAGGAAAGCATGGATAGAGATCACAGTGTCGTGTTCACATATATGGATTCTCCTGATGATGCACCTAAACCAGCCATGGAACGTAATCCAAGGTAGAAGATGCAGGGAAGTAGAGAGAAAGTTGGCGTCATCTTATACTTGTTACCTCATCCTTACCTTTCAGAGAAATCTTTTCTACCGGGCAAAGACCTCGAGTGGTACTTCTTCAGCCCACGAGATCGCAAGTACCCCAATGGGTCGAGGACTAACCGAGCAACTCAGGCCGGCTACTGGAAGGCCACCGGGAAGGATCGGAGGGTGAGCTCCCAACGCCGCGCGGTCGGGACGAAGAAAACCCTCGTCTACTACCGAGGCCGAGCTCCGCATGGCTCTCGGACCGACTGGGTCATGCACGAATACCGCCTCGACGAGAAGGAATGCGAGAATGCCGCCGCAGGTTTACAGGTACGTCAACGTCCTCTTCTTCTTTCTCTCCTTGTTGATGACGAGTTCATGGCCATGGGCGTCTGTGCGTCGATGAAGGATGCGTATGCACTGTGCCGCGTGTTCAAGAAGACCGCACCGGGCCCACAGATCGTCGTGGATCACTCGCAGTGGATGTCGACAGACCGATCCCCGACTGTTGATCTCTCCTCCGATGGAAGAGGGGACGAGTTCGAGAGCCGTGAGATGATGCAGGGGGCGTCTCTCGATGGCAGTGCTTGTGAGGACGGCAAGTGGATGCAGTATCTAACCGAAGAGGCATTCGGTGGTGGAGTTCCGTGTCATGATCCGGGAAGCTTCACTTACATGCCATCCAAGGTTAAGGATCATCCACTCCGATGCTTCCCTGATACCCCCACCCCATCTACTCTGCTCAACCGGTGTTCGTGTTCAGGTGGATGTGGCGTTGGAGTGTGCGAGGCTTCAACACAGGCTCTCCTTGCCGCCATTGGAGGTGGAGGACTTCCCTCGTATGGATCTCACCCAGTCGAAGGCCATGCGTTCCGGCAGCTTCCAAGAAGGCAGTAACCAGGTGGACATCCTGCAGGAGATCTTATCGGTCGCCTCCGCCTCTAATGAACTGATCGACGACTCCAGCTACGCGGACATGTGGGTTGGAACTACTAATCCTCATCTTGACGAATTTGCTTCTTTCTTGGAGCCCACAAAACTTATCGAGATAAGCGATCTGGAAGAGGAGTTGAAGGAGGAGGAGAAGAAGAAAGTGGAGAATCTGCGAGGGGTGAGTTGTGGAGCCAACATATATACATAGCTTAAAACGATGTCACTGTTTCGATTTGATTTGCTTTTACTTGATTCACAGATAGTTGTGGAAAGCGAAGAGAGGAGTGTAAGATTGGGAAGCATTCCAACCTACCAATTCGGGGAGGCTGTAGGCATTGAAGGTACGTCGTCTTCAAGCCGTGACTCCAAAGTCGAACGCTTGGGATACAGGCCATCGTATTAACTAAAAGCTAGATCGCCAGGAGAAGCTGATGGCCGCACCAGATCGAATGGCGTAGATGATGATGACACGAAACCTATATTTCCGGAGTCTGGACCAGATGATCTTGCCGTTGGTTTTCTCGGCGTCCACCACCGGCATGGCGGCGACGAAGGCCGAGCCGACCATGAGTACGAGAAGGTGGAATTCCAGCGCGGGCTATTTGTGTCGCATGCCGGCATGATCGAAACATTCTTCCACCGCATCGAGCCATCGAAGAAGGTCAGCTTCCATTTGAGTCCAGTGGCGAGAGGAGACATGGCTGCCGAGACGCATGGGGATGCGGCGAGAAGTAGAGGAAGGTTTCCATTCTTCGGCAGGGTTAAGGCATTCATACAAGACAAACTCATAAGAAACGAGGCATGTCAGGGCAATGGAAGAGCGAGTGAAGTGGTAGAAATCGCGGCACTCGTGTTGTCATCCCGAACCAATCGGAGTGATGAGGCGAAGGGGCAAGTCATGGAACAGGAAAGAGAAGGTGGATGCACTACTTGGAAGAAAAAAGAGGAGAATAAGAAGAGTCGCAGAGGGGGTGACTGTGAGAGCAACGTCTGGTTTCCAGACATGAGGGCGGGGAGAGGCATTTGCAGAATGTTTTTGCTTGGGAAGTTGCCATTCCTCCTATCTTCTGCGTTGCCTCCCCACGGCTTCAGGAGTTGATCATATATATACTCACTCTTGTCACTGTGGAATCAGAGTCGCTTGTCACCCAGAGAAGGAGACAAGTTCGTCTTATACTGGACGCCGATGCAATTGTAACATTCATATGATTTCGAATACAGAAATTGCATTACTGGCAGAATCGCCTCGACAAGATTAATCGGACATGCCGATCCGACACAGGAATCATAATCCTGACAAGATGAACATTCCGCTCCATCAGTTGTCACATCAATCCGTGATTGCGATCTGCCCAAGAGCTACAACAACAATAAGCTCACATCTACTGCCACATATAAAATTCACCCACACCCACCGGCACCATATACAAAAAGAAAATGCGACATGGAGCAATCCATTCATTATACAGAGTCATTCTTGAAGAATCTCCTACGAATATGATCGTCTTCTCTCATTGTCCCACGAGACTTGATAGATCAAAAAATAAAAAGCCATATGAGGTACAAAATTATCCAGTGGCAGAAGCCTTCAAAAACTGTTTGACATAAGTGAACACACATACACACACACACAAAAGAAAAGTGCCTTCCGACGCTCTGATTACATACAAAGAATAACCCAACATATAAAGAATGTCCAGTAGATAATATAAGACAAACTCATACATATATGGTGGAGAAAAAAAAAAAAATATTCCAACTTTCAACCCCAACTAAGAAAACATTGGGAAACAACGAATATTATATATACTGCACACACGAGAACACAAGCCTAAGCATACACCCAAACTTACAATGAATTTAAAGAAACCAACGTTTTCCTTTGAAAAGCACATCTCTGCACTAAAACAGAAAGCCCAAAGCTTTTCCTCATAATGTACCCCTTCTAGAAAGCCCTCCAATTATCAGAATCTTGTCTCGGGGAATGCCCACCTGAAGACTTAAAAGGTCCAGTTGAGCCAAAGGGATCGGCATCATCGAAAGATTCAAAACCCCTTCTGTTGCCAACTTCTCTCTTGCTGCTAATTGAGTCAAACCTCGCCAAGGTTTCAGGCCGAGACATACTGACGTTGGAGTCAAACCTAGAAAGGCTCTCTCGTGCAGTGAAAGAACCACTCTCATGTGTAGCAAAAGAATCAAATCTGCCAAAACTATTGAAACTGTAGTCTTCTTGCCCACTATTGAACTTTGATGATGAAGCAGAGTTGAACATTGGAGAACTTGGAACAGAATCATCAAAGAATGAACTCTTCTCCTTCTCAAATACACTGCTAGCACTTGGAGAGTTTGATTTTATGGAACCAAAGTCAGACATGAAGAAAGTATTCTGAGCGCCACCCCCATACTCAGTCTCCTGTAAGGATTAGCAACTATAAGAAATGCATCCAGTGACAACAATTTCCTCTCCAATTTAAAAGAGGCAATACAAATGCAGAAAAGAAGAACAAGAGAATACAAAGCATCATTCTTTACCTTCCACACCGAATCAGTATCATCAAAGGTCCACGGTTCATCCATATACTTGTCTCCAGAGACAGTAGATTCAGCATCAACTTGATCACTACTGCAAAAGCAAATGTTTTAAATGAGACTTTTTTATCAGGAATAACATAATACAGATTTCAGTAAAATTCGAAAAATATACAAGTTCATACAACCAAAATTTTGTTTAGTGACCTCAACCAATGAAAGAACAAAATGATTGCAACAGACATTCACAACTTGTTCAGCACATTGGCTGCTATAAGTCATAATTCTGTCAACATAGACTCACATCAGATAAAGAAAAAAAATGAAGATTTAAGAGAACACAAATACCTATGACTTTCTTTAGTGCGTGAGGAATTATCATGTATTCCAAATTGGGTAGAGTTAAATGGGCTTTCCAAGGTACTTCCAGGACTACCAGGACTTCTTGTTAACCCTTCTTCACTGTTATCATAGGTTGATCCATTCATACGTTCATGTGTATCATAAAGCTTTTCATTCTTGCCATCAACATTTCTAGAAGATGCAACAGGGGAAGTCTCGTCCATGGAAGCCTTATCGCTCCAGATTGAGGGGGATTTGGGGTATTCACCGGAAGCAGTATCAACAACTGACATTAGATCTTTAACAACTGTAAATCCTGGAAGCAGATAATTACCGCTTTAGATTCATCAAGGAAGCTCCACAGATATATCAATCACAAGTTACAAAAACTCCAATGAACAGAAAATCGTACATTCAGACAAGAATATGAAAAAATCAGTAATGCTAAACATAAATTGTTAACAGTCTCATAATATTGTAAAAGTTCTCAATGAAGAATAGCTAATAAATTAGGCAACTCCAGCCCAACAAGCTCAGAAATAGAAAGCAAGAAGTGAAAATTCCATCAAGGCGTCGACAACCCTCAATTTTGATATTCAGATGTATCTTTTACGTGAAATCAAGCAAACTTGAACGAGTTAACATATTGTTTTAGACAAGCTCCAATGCATTAAGCTCACAAATATGTTTGAAGCAACAACTATAACATTCAGTATTATGAAATATATAAAATAACCAAAAAACCTATCTTTGACTTGATTAACTTGGACCTAATGCCACAGGAGTACGACCCTTGCTAGAGGCAAGTAGTCTTGAGCAATAAACTGATTAAGCTGGTGACAATTATAGGCAAAAACTTTCTCATGCAAAGAAAAAAAGAGAGCAAAATCAGCTAAATAAATGTAAACACAACATAATGTGATTTTTATCTTAAAAAATTTGCGATCAAGTGAATGTCCAATGTATTCATACAAAAGTGTCAAAAAACCAGGTTCGACAGGGGTTGGAAAACAAAAGGTTCAAGAAAAAGCTAAGACAAAGGCTAATAGGAATTTGTATAAACATATATCTTTGTGAACAGCTAAGTCAATCCCAAATACAAAAGATAACAACAAGGTTATTGTTTTAGCAGACATAAAATTAACATGGAACATTAAAACAAATGCTGAATGCACTTGATTCTTTTCAACAAGACATGCAGTCATACACTTCACAGCAAATGGTCACAGAAGTACAAAGCTTTAGAGAGGTTGGCTTGTCAAGTTGGAAGCTATGCCATTGGCACAGTTGACCTAGCAATACGGTGGCACTTCTACGATGACTCAACATGGCATGCGCCAGTGTCTTTGTAGCCTGGAATGTTTTTGACTCATGCCAACACATATTGATCAGCAAGACAATCTCAAAATGAAAACACACATAAAGGAGACATTGTAGAAGGACAAGTTTCTCAAAAGAAAAGCCTTAAAAACTTGAATTGTAGGTGCCTCTTGATGCATTGACAATCTTATGGAATGTGCATGACTCGCACATTGTCTTTTCTTCCTTCCACCTCAAATCTACTGTATGGAGGTTGGTCCCAAAGCTCGCATGGCTAGCACATACATCAGGGTTACTATATGTGTGTATGGCAGAATATATGACAGTGTTGGCAATATTACACCATTTCCACGTAACTTGTGCTAACACTTGTAATGTAGCATCAGTCACATTCCAGAAAGTTGCAAATGAGAGGTACTTATACAAAGAAGGCAAACAAAGATACCTTCATCCTCAAATTTATCCCAGTCTTCATCCCAATCAGCCACCCCTTCTGTTGGTCCGGATTCCCAGCCTTCAGAAAAATAAACAAGAAATGACCTTAGAACTGATAGGAAGAGATGAAAATGAAGGGAAAAAATTTAAGAAACAGACTATACACATGCACAATATCAAGGAAAAAAGATCAACTGCTTTGCATGTTGAGATCAATACTAGGAGAGTGTTTTGTTTGCTATAGTATGAACCAAGGTTCGTTGTAGTGTACCACTCATACTGGTTTGTTGGTACACCCCACTGTACCATGTATCGGTATAACAGTACAGTTTGGTATGTACCATACCAATGGCCGGTCGGTACACTGGTAAGGCAAACCATGGTATCAACAGCTCGTTTCTCTAAATACAGCAAACAAACAATATGATATATACAATATCATCACTGTTTTCTGAGTAAATTAAACTCATTCGTCAAGAATCTTCTAACATAATCAGGCTACTCAGCTATGTATGTAAAAATTGTTTTGAAAAAAGAAAATTTAGAGAGATCATATAATACGATGAAATTATGCCAATTACCAGATATTTAGTCAGGTATAGCCCATTGTTTCCCAACCACAGCAAAAAATATTAATTGCAATCAAGCTAAAGTTTGGTAGCTGTGCTCCTTTCATCCCAGGAATTCTAATATGTCGACAGTTAATAAAGCAAAGCGCAACTAAAACATAACAATAAGTGTGTACTTCTAAATCTAAAACCATAGCAAAAAATTTAATTGCAATCAAGCTAAAGTTTAGTAGTTGTGCTCCTTTCATCCCAAGAATTCTAATTTGTCGACAATTCATTAAAGCAAAGCACAACTAAAACATTACAATAAGTGTGCTTCTAACATGTCATCCTTTGACTAGGATCACCAAGAAGTTAAAATTCTATTCTTACCAATTTAGAGAATAACAAATTCTATACAAGTGCAGATTAGACAATCTAAAAGAACCACCCCATTGTCACAAACGGTCGTCGCGCACCCGCAACAACTTCGTTCAACGAACCGTTCGTCGCTTTTGTTTACATGTACCGATGCTTGGCAGCATGTTTTGCCTTGGTTTTGTTTTCTTTTGCTTGTAAAAATGTAAGTTTGAACAGGTTGTAGCGCTACAGTGCGACTGCTCACCGCACCGAGCAAAACAGGCCAAAAGGCTCCGTTTTCGCGTGCCACGGGTTGTTTTCTGCAGCCCGATGTTGCACGCGAAACGTCAACCATCTCAACACCTTGGAACCACCCTGGTGGCACCATGGGGGATGGGACTTCGGTATAGTGTCGGACATTGAACAATCTTTCACAAGTTCGCACGTTAACTTGATGGGAACTTGTCTTCGCGCCCGGCACCCGGTGAGCAGCTGTTTGTGGACTTGCAGTTGTTCGTTCAACCTTCTAAAATCCTTGTTTGCCTCCTTTCTCTCTTTTCTCTCGTACATGCAAGATGCTCGCTGAATTGCTTGTAAAGCTTCCCCTTTCACGAGACGTCAGGACTTATCCGTCGCTCGTTCTTCGAACTAATCAACTTTCTCTTTTACAGGTCCTTCAGGACCTGAGTAAGGTTACAAATTGGCTGACCCTTTGCGGACGCATATCGCAAGGATGCATCACGACTTAGGCAATCTCAGCTAAGTCCAGGAAGTTGGCGCAAGGGTGCTTCACGACTTAGGCAACTCAAACTAAGTTCGCATATTTGCCGCAAGGATGCCTCACGACTTAGGCAATTCCAGCTAAGTCCATGACACCATGGTAATCTTATTTCAATTAACATCAGATACATAAGAGGATAAGATCCTATTTTGCAAATGTGAGCCAATTATTCATTTATAATGCCTTTGGTCAATTTACCTGATACAAAACACCAATACTACTTCAAAAAACACTACATGTTTTTATATGGTCCAAGCAATACCTTATGCATATGAAACACAATAGGCACAAACAATTAGTTAACCAGAGAAAAAAACACTGATCTTGCACTTCCAGTCCTAACCTAGGTGCCTAAGTTAATTAGGATTGGCCAACCAACATACGAAAACTGAAAATCCAAACCACAATGAAAGTTTGACAAACTGTCTAGCCACATGTAAATCCAATTTCCTGAGATCCTACAAACCCACTAAACATCAAATGCAACGGATCATCTTTTTGTTACTTCCTATTACCATCTTCTTGTTTTAATTCCCGGCCCGATCTCATCCAAAGAGATTATAAGAGAGAGAGTCCACTCACCCTTAGCAACCGTAACCTCATCTCTCTCAACTCTCTATGGAAACAACACCCCACTTCCCTCCTCTCTCATCTCTCCCCTTTTTCAATACTGTCCAGGGAAAATGAATCTTCTAGCACTTGCGAGCTTTTCCGACTATCTAGAAAATTCAGTGGCTAAAATTTGAAAATATTAGCATCTGCATATTTATGGTTAGTCGAATTATATATGAATTTCTACATTTCATATATTAGCATCCGCATGAAAAACAACTTGATGAACTATTATGCACAAAAAACCTTCAATGGCTACAATTTGAAAATATTAGCATCCACGTATTGATGGTTAGTCAAATTTTATATGAATTTCTACATTTCATGGGAAAAATAACTTGGTGAACTAAAAGTAATACTTAGCAAGGGTAAAACCTATTTAAAGATGTTTCGGACTCTGTCTTCTGATAGTCGTATTTAGTGCATTATAGAAACTCTTACTGCAAGCAACTTTTCTTTCATTCAGGGACATTCTTTGAAAGATGACCATAACAATGATTGCAATATTACAGAACTGATAAGTGCTAGCAATCACTGGAACATCAAACCATGCTAGTGGCAGAAAACCCAAGTCCAGAAACAGATAAAAGCACTTCAATGCATCCAATGTTTCAGCATCTCCGATTTTCCAACTTATGCTGGTCGCTAAGGAGTACCACTATGCCGTTCTAAGTTGGGTAGGAACAACCCCCTTACAAGATAGTCATCATGCATAGGAACTTTGAAACTCTCCTTTTCCTAGAACCTGGTCAGAACTTATTCTTCTTCTGAAAACTTTAAATCCAGGATGAATTTACATAATTTCCTTTTCCGTGACTTTTTTTCATAATCCCAAAAAATTTTATTTTCCACATTATTATTTTGACAAAATTTTAGTCCTCGTTAGGCATGTACAACGAACTGAAATAAATACTAGAAGATAAACGACAGGGTTATTCATATATCATAGATCTGAAGTGCTAGTGTTTAATTTCATTTATCACTACTACAACCTAAAATATTAAAAACCGATACTTATACAACAATCATCAAGCATGAAATTGAAGAGGAAAATTGACTTGTTAATTCTTAGTTATGTACAGAGACCACGGACTCAGAATATACACATTAGACTTCGCAAATGTCCACAATCAAAATAAACAGCACCAAGAATAACATGAGCAAAAGGAAGTTTGGGCTTTGGAGTACCAAAAGGAAGCTCAATTGATGTAGTTGCCTTAACATGAACATCATATTGTTTGCAACGTTCATTAAGAGCTTTCTCTAACCCCTCAAGATCAGATTGTATTCTATCAACACGAACCTGTAAAGTAAAATAAATCAGGTATGTGTAAAAAATCAAGTAAATGCAAAAGCCTACCTGAAGCAGACCATCAGCACTGCCACCTTGTTCCATCTTAACTATTGCATTATGCAATTCCATCTTTCTTTCCTACAAAACCAATCACATGGATAACAAAAAAATCACCAAGAAAATATCACCTCCGGAAGTTGAGAGATATGGAGGTTGCCTTCCCATGTCCATTTTAGCATATCCTATGGTATACCTGTATATCACGGTGCTTAGCCTCTTCGACTGCCAATTTTGAAGCTAACTCTCCAACTTGCTTGTATTTCTCTTCATATTTTTTTGCCAACAACTCAACCTAAGTACATCAAATACATAAAATTTTCAAAGGAGAGAGAAAGACGTGTAGAAGGTGATCTGAGATCAGAAGTGTCTAAAAGAAACCAGCATAAGATTATCATGGTTCAGTGACCATGGAAGTTGGAACTCTCAGCAATTCACCCTGGCAAACATCTACAGTTTAGCAAAATAAGAAGTCAATATCCTACTAAAAGTACCCTTTTATTGATAAAAAGATGATCCTATTGAATCCAACTACAGAAGGTGACATATCAAAAAAGTGGAGGACAATACACCTTGACATCATTTAAATGTCACTCAAAGAAACTTTTTAACGTATAAAGATTAAGAGGAACTGCAATAAAAATGATAATAATAGTCTTTGTGATATGAAAATCTTAAACATCAGTGACAGTGACTTTGGAGATTTGCTAGCATAATATGGCTCAGCACCATACCACCAACATGCCCCTTGTGCTGGTCAAAGCGAGCCAAAAAATAGCCTGGTCAGTTGTTAAATTGCCAGCTCCGCACATGTTATTCTCTCCCAAAGAGAACTTCATTCCATGGTAATGTGAAGTTGTGAACTATCTCCACCATTTTTTATTTAAAAAAGAGGCAAAGGTCATATTTTACATGGTTAAATAAAGGCTCTTTAGTTGTATAATGTTGATGCATAAATGCACTAGATACTACTAGTAATAGAATTTGTAAATGGACTAAAATATGTTATTGTCACCAACTGAACGAAAGAATCATGCATACTACAATTATCCAGTGATCTGGTATGCAAAGCATCATGAATCACAGTATGCATAAGTATTATAATGGAGATAAAAATCCCCAAATCACAATACAAGAGAATAGAGGGTTCTTGAATCACAATTAAAAGGATGGAGGGATCCCAAATACTGTGATTTCCAGACCCCAAAAATTAAAATATTCATCTATTGATTATTGGCGAAGAAGCAATATAAAATGACTCTGACCAGAATCCATGAGCAACAGTTTCAAATAAACATTAAGCTAAAGGCAACACAATAAGCCTTTTAAGAGCATTTTCTAAGCTAATGCTTCTTATGGAACAATTTTAAGACATAGTATTCAGAAAATAGTTATAAAGCATAAACATAAAGAGCACAACAAAAAGGCAAGTGAAGTCATAATTATCAAAATTTTCTAGTATGAGCACCAAAGTTATTGAGTCAGTAAAATTGTGGTACCTCACGCCTATCAGCAGATGCTCTTTCAGTGATCTCATTTAGTCTATTGTCACATCTACTCTTGTAAAGAACCTAAAACACAAAGAAAAAAGATGTAACAGATAATTTGAATATTAATAAAAAATCTCAATCAGGTATGACCAAGCTAGGTTATAGAGCAAAAGGACGGGTTTACCTTACAAAAGCTTGATTTGTAAGGACAATTGATTCAATTAGCGAAGCTACCACAAACGTGAGAAGATAAATGATACGCTTCGCAAGGCAAATAATGATCTTTTTCGTGCTGAATTATACAAATACCATACCAAATCAGAAATGTCATGCACAAGATTTGAAGTTTTTCTATAGTTCAATTGTTTAACTTTTCTTTCTTTGTCTAATACTTCCAGGGAAATTGTGTAGTTACGAATTTTTAAAGTTTGGCTTAGATATTCCACATATCTAGCCTCTATCATAAACTAGAAATCATGTTTTTTAACGTTTTTGTCTCTCACAGATACAGGTAACCATAGATATCAAATTGTAATCGACATCATCATTGATAGAATACTACTTCACCTTCATTTAGAAACTTTTACATCAAGGACAATGTCAACCACCTAATATATTTATCTGAACGGTGATAAGTGGAATGAATTAGAATTTATGTTACTACCATTAAAATAACTTATCACTATGAGCATATGAAATAACTTACTTTCTGTCAAAAGAACAATGACCACCTTCGACTAGATATAAAATGTAATATATTGGTAAAAAGAATCATGCAGAGAATAATCATTAGACTCACAAGTTCTTGCATTTTGGTGCGATAGAACTCAATCTTCTCCCTTGAATCCATGATCTGTTTTTCCACTTCTTGAACCTGAAACCAGAAGAAAGAGAAACTCAATCTTATGTCCCATAGAAAACTAGCAGATTATTAAATACTTCAAAATATAAGTCAGTAGTGATCTACATGAGAGAATTTAGTTCATTAGGAAAAAATACTTCAACAAACAAGAAGGTCAACAGACAGTATCAAGCATCATGCTAAGACATTAAACATGGTGTCTGAACTCCAAACAACATCACCCAATTGTTACTGAAATTTGTCCTTGAAGTCCACGTTGATGTACTCTACCTTGTATGCCTTGTCAAAGTATTTTCCTTGCAGTACATGGGTGCACACCATCATGCAAAAAGATTTCGCATAAGATAGACATTAAATTCTCAAATGGTCATGCACTAACATCCAGATCTAATGAAACACAACTGCTACCCCTGAACAAATTTCCATATATGACAATAGTATGATTCTGCAATGTAAATAACAGATTATTGTAACATTCAGAGGATGAAAGACCTATTTCCTATTTTAAATGGTGGTCTTAACAGAATAAGAAATTAAGTATGTGACCTTTTTTATCAAACAAGGAGAAACAGACACAAGGAAAAGACAGAAGACATTTTATAATGTATGAACCTGATAACTCCACCTGATGAAGCAAAAAAAGGTGCAAGGAACATCTGTGATGGATAGATAATAAAACTAAACAAGGTGAAAAAAGGAGCATAGGACTACTAAAATATGATTGCAGGAAATAGAAGTGATACTAAGGAATTAACAATATCTATAAGGATATTGAATCAATCATCTAGGATATCCTAGAAACAAGACAAGAAAACAGAGAAAAGGAAGCTACCAAGATCCGAATGATTGCAGATCATAAATGATTGTAGTTTACATGCTGTTGCTACTGAAACATCAGAGTATTCTTGCATGGTTCAAAGCTAAATTTGCCCACGAAGGAAGCTCAAGAATAGACACAAGATCACCATCTAAGTGATTACACAAATATATAAAACACTAGATTGTCAATAAACAATGAAACATCACATCTTATCCATTATGATGTGGGACAGTATTTCCAGAAGACTTCATTTAAACTGGATATCAGAACGTTTGATGTGACAATTTTATAGCTACATCTTTTTTATGCCAAACGGAAACATAAATCATGTTAAATTCCTCCATAGTCCAAGTACCCCCAAAAAAAAAGGCTTTCAGAACAAAAGAGAAATCACCTTATTGTCCACATTTGTTGCTTCCTGGTTCTTCAAGTTCACTGTAGTCTGTCTATCGTTGCCGAGGTTTTTTAGCATGTGATTATCCAGTCCAGGTTTTCCTAAGGTTTGCTGCATTGGTTGTGCTGCACTAAAAGCCTGTGATGGGTCAGAATTCTGTATCGGGGCCCTTATTCCAGTTGTTGGCATGACAGGATGAGATCCACGAAGAGATTGTTGTGGTAATCCTAATCCAGAATAGCAATTAGCACAAGGATGATGTAAAAATCTGCAAAATTAAGAAAAGGTGCTAAGAAATATCAGTACCTGGTTGCCAAGTTGGAACGCCATAAGCAGCTGAAGGCATGCCTGTGGATCGCAGTAACGTCTCATCGTACATAATATTACTTGGAAGCACTGATGGCAAAGGAAACCCTTCTCGGGATCTTTCCATTAGATAGAGGGCAATACAGAACTCTCTCAAAGAAAGCATGCTATCATTATCTTGGTCAGATAGGTCCCACACCTGCTTTAAGACCTCTGGAAAACAAAAATAATAAACAATATAAATAATAAGACACGAGAGAAACATGTAATTTAATAGTTCCCAATGTTCATTCTTGGTGCAATACCCAGGCCTTACCCAAAAACGGCTAGAAAAAAATGAGTATACTAACATCCTGCATGGAATGACTACGTGTAAATGCAGATTTACTCATATGCAGACATAGGACCCCCCGGTTTGCTCGGGTATCACTTATAATGGTCAAGTGCGAACCTAGTAAAGCAAACAATCTTCCCTAAATCAGATGTCCAAGAGAAAGATACTTGGGTATTAGTTAACTTATGGATGGGAAGCCATTATAGGCGAGATCCCGTTTGTTATAAGTGACTCTTTTACACCTTAAGCATTTACTTTTCTCATCTAAATAATGCAAAAAAGACAATGAAAACATGCAAAGAAAGAGACAAGCTGAAGTAGTTGTCAATATCATGTTGAATATCATGGAAAATTTGACTTCAATAGTAACAAGAAAAACAAAACCACAGTGATGTTAGAAAATAGTGGTCCTACAGCTACTCATGTTTAAAAAAGAGACATTTTGCTAACTTACATGTGTAACTTTATTTGCTCTTTGCAAAAGAATTTTTTAAAGAAACATTTAACTGTGATCTAGTGGCTACCTCTAGGAAGTTTCCAACTCAAGAACAAGGTTCGTGCCTGTTCACCCGTAATTTTTCCATCTCTGTCCTTGTCTACATTGACAAAAACATTAGTGTACTTCTTAATATCAGCTTGAGTTATCTTTGGCCATTGAATCTGAGGCTGATTTGGAGCTGAACTTGCAAGTCCAGCTGCACCATTGGATGCAGTCGGAGCTGAACTAGTCTTTCGGTTATCAAGTTGATTTTGTTTGACGTTGGACTGAGCCTGTTGCAGCTGGCTACCAGCAGGAAGAAGCAACCCAGCATTCTGAAAAGGATCAAGCTGTCCAGGCCTAATGAAACTTTGAGGACCAGCAGCCACTGAAGCAACACTGGATGAGTTGGCCATATTTTTCACTGATAAATCAAGTATATTAGAATCTGATTTTTCCTGCGAAGCAGCAGAAGAAACATTCGCTCCAAAAAATGAGTCAGAAGAAAAATCATTTCCAGATACAACCGGAGTATTCGGCTCATTGGGTTTAGATGGTGGTAAGTTCGGCTCAAGACGTTTTGGCGAAACTGTGGATGATAGTGCAGATTTCATTTGTGGTTTAGAAGGCACTCCAGTCGTGCCTGAAAGTGTTAAGCCAAAACCATCCAGGCTCTGAGAGGGGATACTGCCTCTATTAGGAGTCTGAGGTGTTCCACCAACCGAAGATCCACTTGACTTGCCACCAAGCCAATCAGTTGATAGGCTCAAATTGCTTGAGCTTGGCAAATGTGGACCTGCAACACTACCTCCTGTGGTTGATCCTAGATTACCTCCCTGCATTTGAGTTGGGGCAGCAGCAGCAGCAGGTGTTGCTTGAGGTGGCCTCATGAAATTGCTGTTTGCTGTGGGGAACTGTTGATTCATCACTGCATTTTGAGGCGATTGTGTTGGCCTGAAACCAACATTTTGAGGTGTGTTTGGTGCTACAGTGCCCAACGGATTAGAAGAAAGTGGCAAAGAATTTGTTGGGACCATAGATGTTGCTGCAGAATTTAACTGTGATGTAGCACCAAACTGATTAGGTGAACGCGAAGAATTTGTTGGAGCTGTAGGTGTAGCTGCAGAATTCAACTGAGGTGCAGGAGACGATACTGGATTTATCTTTGGTGCAGGAATCTTTGCTGAAGCTGGACCATATAGTGCTGACTTTACAATTTCAGGTGTCAGTTGACGACCACTTTGTGCCACAGTGACAAGTTTCAGGGCATTATAGAACTCTGGGCGTCCAAGGAAGCCAATTCGGTTCTGATCAGCATACATCCATACCTGCATAAAACCCGCATCACATATAAGGAGAGAAATATGCTCATCATCATTTGCATGACACATGCTTCAATGGTGAGCAAACCATGGGCTAAAATATAGCTGCCACAATGCTTGAAGCATTACATTGAATCCAATTCGGTTATCATTGACCAATCTGACATGTTAACATGTAATACCATGAAGCACCATAAAGGAAAACTTATTGTAGTCATAAGGACTTGAATACACCGTTGCAAGTACCTCGTTCACTGCCCAATTCAGAGTAGTACTTATAGTCGACAAAGATCAAATGTACAGAATGCATCAACCAAGGAATGTTGTTTCACCCAGGCTGCTATGAAATGGACAGTATGTATTGGTCCAAGCATAAACCAGCATGTGGACCACATCGGTTCTGTGCGTTTCGATCCACAACAACAACAATAACAAAGCCGTAAGTCCCAACAAATCCATTTCAATCCCACCAATAAAAATAACAATAATAATAATTTAACAGGTTAGGGCCTGAGTTTGTGAGCCCTCTTCTTGACACAGACATGTTACTGCTACCCGCCACCTAGCGTTGTTTCAGGTATGTTTCCTCCTCTTCTCCTCCATGCTTTCTCAACCTCCTTCCTCTTCATGCTCCTTTCTCCTCCACCACCTCCTCTTATTCCTCTTCCTCCTCCTTTCCCTTCTTTTTTTCTTCATACTTCTCTCGTCCTCTTTTCCCTCCACTGTGTCATGGACAAAACTGTAAGCAGGGTGTTTGATGTAATGCTCATGTATGTCCGTGTTTTTCGGTTTTGTTCATGCTTTGTACAGCATGTAAAGGGCTGATAGTAGGCTTAGCAGCCCCATTTTCTTTGGTTTTGGTGGTCGTCTTAGGCTTGTGAACAAAGGTTGTGTCATGTGGGCACTTGTGGGGATTTTGGTCTGTAGTGGACCATTTTGGACCCTTTGTTGTGCGACCGTTTAGAACTTGTGAAGTCTGTTTGTAATTTGCATTGGCTATGAAGTATTTGCCGAAATGATTGCTTATGAATCCCGAGTGAGACTCTTACTCTAACCCATTTTCTCTTTTGTAGGTCCCGAGGGACCATAGGAGGTTTCGGGGAGGCTGACCTTTGTGGACAGATACGCAAGGGTGCTGCACGACTTAGGCAAAACCAACTAAGTGTGTGACATATAGTATCGGAGCGGGATAAGCACTCATAGAAACACTTGGCATGTAAACGTGTGAGACCTAGCGGGGCTGCGTTGAAGGCAGCTAGCACGTGCGACCGTTTGGGGGAAACGGGCATGGAGATGTAAAGAAAAAGAGTCGCTCAGAGGAGCAAGCATATGAGATTAGCATCCAGAGGAATGGTCAGCCCTTCGCACAACAGGCACCATGAGGACAAGCAAGCTGGGAAGAATGCATAGCGCATAAAGGTTGGGATGGCTGAGTTCGAGCTATGGCTCGACGTTGGCAACCATACTTGATGGTGCTCAAGGCAAGCGAGGCACTTGGTAAAGGATGAGATCGTGCAAAGTGGAATGGGTTGTTCAACAACCGAAAGAGTTATGCAAAGCTCACAGAGGTGAGGGGAATTGCTAACTCAACGAATTCAATACTCATGCAAGGGCTTGTATGCGGACGATGGAATGTTCGTGGCCATCCCAAGGCGATTGAAACTCGGCGCCATGGAGCATTGAAACTTTATCTTCAACATAAGAAGGATACGTTCGTAGGAGGCTGAAGTGTACAGCGAGTTTCAGCATGTTGCTAGGACTTGAGGGGTGCAACAGGGGCTGTATTGGCGAGGAGTCCCAATCTTGCAAGTGCATTTGCGAGGGCAAAGCAATGCACAGTTTGTTCAGCAAGGCGGAGTAGTCCAAGGGGATGGTGGTCTCCGAAACTTTCAAAGGGAATGATGCGAAGAGAGAAGTTGCTCCAACGGGGTAGATACCTTGGAGGGATAAGTCTCGGTTCTCCAGAGGAAGAATCATGTGCAACGGACTGCACATGTTGAGGAGGAGTACCTCAAGACAACAACCCCACAAAACTCAACGGACCGAGCGAGTGACGAGAAGTTATCGCATGATCTCGCATGAGGTAATGCATTGATGGATACATTGTGAGATCAAGTGAGGGGAGTGACCCAAGGCAACACAAAATGAAAGCACACTTGGAGCCGATATGGAGATCGGACTCAATGGAGGGCTAACCCGTGGAATGGTGGGCGCGAGGGCCACCACCAACTCAATGCAAATCGAGGAGCGGAGCCACTTGGGTGTAACTTGGTGAAGTACCCAAGCCGCATAAAGGGAGTCGGCATAGAAGATGGAATATAGAGCGAAGACATAAAGCTTTCCTTGGATAGAGGTCAAGGAAATGAACTCTTGCAGAGGCAAGAGCGGGATCATGTCGTTCCATGGGTCCTTCATTCTGATAGAGCGGACTCATCTTGTATGGTGTCAAAGACGAATGGAGATTTGAGGCACATACACCCCATCTTGGAGAAGCATTTAACGAAGAAACCAAGACGACTCAACTTACGAAAGCGAAGTTGGGTTCAAAAAGCCTTGACACGAGGCAAAAGGAAGCTAAGACAGGTACTCTTGAAGAATATGTCATAGTGTTGCCATTCGAGTTGCCATGAATGAAGCAATGCGCAACGGAGATTATGCTAGTGGGGGCAGAGGCCTAAGATCCAGACAATGATGCACCGATTTCAGCGAAGTCGGTGGACTTCGGGAGCTACTAGGCGATGGACTGTCCTAGAGCGAACTCATCCTTAGGTCCTTCATTCTGATAGAGCGGACTCATCCTGTATGGTGTCAAAGACGAAGGGAGCTTCGAGGCACATACACCCTATCTTGGACAAGCATTTGACGGAGGAACCAAGGCGACTTAACTTGCCGAGGCGAAGTTGAGTTCAGAAGGCCTTGGCACAGGACAAGAGGACGCGGTGGCGGGTATTCTTGAAAAATATACTACAGTGCTGCCATTCGAGTTGCCATGAAGGAAGCAATGCGCAACAAAGATTGTGCTGGTGGGGGCAAAGGCCTAGGATCCAGACAATGGTGCATCAATTTCAACGAAGTCGGTGGACTTCAGGAGCTACTAGGCGTTGGACTATCCTAGAGTTGTGCTTCGTCTGGGTGTAACCTAGAGAGCGAGTGGACGAAAGTCGATTACCAAAGGAGCGAAGACAATCGAAGGCAGAAGAGGCCTTGTGATGTTTTGGCAGAGGCCACACATAGAGGGATCACAATCCGAGTTCATCACACCATGATCAGAATGCAATGGAGATGTTACCAAAAGGCGACATGGTGTCACGAACGGTCGTCGCGCACCCGCAACAACTCCGTTCAACGAACCGTTCGTCGCTCACACCCGCATGTACAGCTGCTTGACAGCATGTTTTCTT